GGGGGAGGATTATATTTATAAATTTTTACAAATTATACTATATTCTTTCGAGAGAATACTCGATTACACTATGTTTTCTCAAGAGTACATAGTGTAATTTGTAAAAATTTATAAAAAAAATTGTAAACGGATCATTCCCCATATTTAATTGTTTGAGGTATACTTGTGAAGTTAATTCACAATCACATGTTAGTTTTTTTTTCCTACTAAATATTCTACGCATTGTTTCTATATTTTCAAATTCAAATAAAATAGAAAAAATTAACAAAAATATATAAAATTAAAAGATAGATATGCATATTTACTCTACATAGAATTTAAAATATATATTAAATAAAAAATTAACAAAAATATACATATTTTATTCAAAACAAATAAATTTAAAATTAAAAAATAAAAGAAGTTTAGAATTACACGTTATTTTTTAAAAGAGTGTAAGCTAATATATTTAGTCCCTTTTAAGAAAATTTCTTCTAAACTTTATATATAAAGATGAATAATTTAAAAATATCTGATATTTAATATGGTCAATGTTTAAAAATTATTTATAAAGATTTGGTATTTGTGTAAGAAAATAAATATAGAATTCATTAAGCAAATTCAAATAAAATTATAAGAAAAAATAATAATAATTTTAGAGTATTAAAAGTAAAAATAAAAAATAAAAAATAAAAAATGATTTTTACGGTATTTAGTGAAAAAATAAAATATATAAAGAAATTATTTAAAAAATGACTCTATAATTTATTATAGAAGATAGATAAGCATGAAATATTATCATTACAAGCAAACCGAATCACACGTTATTATTAGCAACATTGATTGGATTGCACTTCATGTTTGGTCCTTTGTATAATCATTCAACGTTATTCTTTCGATGACCTTAAAGTGATCCCATATATTTACCAATTTAACTAAGACTTCTTTGTGGCTCCACTTTTTTATCTTTAGTTTAAGATGACCTAACATACCAATTTCAAAATGAAAACCCAATCAATCAGTTATTAGGGAAACTTGGTAGATTATTCAGAGAAAAAAAAATTGAAGGATAAATAGTAAAGAATAAGAATTAAAGGAAACTAAATACACAGGAATCAAATGATAGTAATTCAGTTAGTGTCAGATAATTAAGTAGGTAGGGTGAAAGTATATGTTCGATTTTTTTCCAGTACCGTTCTTGAGAGAGATTTAAAGCCTTAATCATGAAACTCACCTCAAATCGAACTAATCACAAAATAGTAAACCGATTGAAATATCTCCAAATACTCATAACAAGTTTTAAATTAAAAACCCCATCATCATAATCCACTTTTATTTGGTGTTAGAGTGATAAATATTTTTAATATTACGGATATACCGAATTCGGTATCCTTGTTTATTAAATGTGAAAAGTTTCAACGGACATAGAGAGAAATATATAAAAAAAAAGTAAGGATTAAAGTGAAAAATAAATTATCCTATTTAGTAAAGGGAAATATTTTTTTATATTATTAGAGATAGGTTATATTATGTTAGTGAAATAACATGATAAGAGAAACCCACAAATAATTGAAAAGAGAAAAAATAGAGGTAAGATTCACTTTTGTTATGTGTATATAAAAATTTGATTAATTTCATGTAAATTGAGATAAATATAACTCTTTAGTAAATGAGTGTACCTAATTCAATGCATCCGGTGTACCAAAAATTTGCTCCTTAAAGAGTGAGGTTGATTCTGATACCACCAAATATACAGGGAGGTAGTACAATTAGTACTAGTTCAAGATTTTGTGAAACAATGTGCTCGGAAAAGTAAAACATTAAAAAGAAGAAAATATGATTAATCTAGAAGGCTTATGGTTGGTAACGCTGTGTCCGAATTTTGCTTCATCTATATAACTTGAATCTGAAAAAGTGATTTAAGTGTTTCTTTTCTCATTATTAGTAAGATCAAGATGTGATGTTTGAGCCTTTGAATCTATTCTGTTCTGATGCCAATTACTTGATTCAGGTTTCATTACTTCGGTATTATGCTTATATTGCGTTTTTAAGGGCGTAGAAATGGATAAAATCATTTGGTATAAATCATCGTAAGAATTAAGAATATTTAATTGTCATTTCGGTATCTTTCAGTTCTTACTTTTTCTTTCATTTATTTTGTTCTCTCTTCTTTCTTTCTTTTTTTTTTTAAAGAAAAAGAAAGAAAGAAAATGTGCTGTACTCATGTTCTCGTTTTCTTTTCTTTTTCTAAATTTTAATATAAGAACTAATTAACATGTAATAATTTAATGAAGCTGAACATATGAAAAATAAGTTATCCCTTGGCTTTGGGAGCATGGGGTAGGCAAGCTCCTTTGTCACGAAATTGATAAATTAAAAGAAAACCAAAATAAGAAACGAAGCCAAAATAGAGATTGGTGGTAAAAATTTCAACCGAATTAAAATAGAGATCGACACGTGGCACCAAAAGCTTTTCCTGTTATTAATAAATAATAAATAGATATCTGGATACTCAATTGATATATAAGTTATTTTTAATAAAATGTAATATTACAATTTAAAGTCTCAGAGAATAAATTTATGTAAAAGCTTATTATTGCCTAAAGTAAGGAGGATGAATGGTAAAGAATAAGGCTTTCAACTGAACATCTCACGTCGTTACGAACACAATAAATAAAAATGAAGATTTTGTTTTATCGAGGAAGCCTGACCTCAAATGGCTTTATCGAGGAACTCTGACCTCTTGCACAAAGTGTTATTTTATAAATAATTCTTTTGATTCTCTTTATTCAAATATTTCAAGGTTTAAATAGATAATACAAGACAACCTTGAAAATAACAACCCATTAGCACTAGATAGACTCCACTAATAACTATAACCTATCATTTAGGAAGGTTGAAATAGAAATAACTACCCACTACTTGAACAACCCAACAATTCAAGAAATAATAAAATAAAAATAAAAAATCGTAACATTCCATTCCCCTAAAAATAACTCTTGTCCTCAAGAGTAAATTCAACATCAAGTAATTGAATCATCTTCAATATCTGTTTCTCCTTCACTTTTGTCCATCACCGCCTCGTCGTCGCTCTCTTTTGTCACTGCTTGGATGGTGAACAATTGTTTGCAGCGATGACCTGGAGTGAATGTGTTATTAAAAGCGAACGAGAGTCGTGGAGGAGGCGCCACTGTCGAAAGATGCAACACCGCAGGTGGGAGTGGATAAAGGTGAACCCTTGGTGTTGCTGACTGTTATGGTCCGTCACATATTCTGAGCAAGGAATATGATCTTCTGATCGCGGGCCTCGGGCCTCGTATAGTTTTGCCAGCCCAATAGTAGATGAGGGGGTGTTAGGCCTGTTAGCCACCAAAACGTCCAATTGGTTGGAGAATTGAGTGAACATCTCCTTGTATTGCTCTGACAAAGACTGGACCACATCTTTCAATTTCTGAACGCATTTGTCTATGCCTGAGCTTTGATACCAATTGTTGGAAATTTGACTTTATTGAGGAAGCCTGACCTCAAATGGCTTTATCGAGGAAGCCCGACCTCTCGCACAAAATGTTATTTTCTAAATAATTCTTCTGATTCTCTTTATTGAAATACTTCAAGATTACAAAATGTTATTTTCTAAATAATTCTTCTGATTCTCTTTATTGAAATACTTCAAGATTTAAATAGATCATACAAGACAACCTTAAAAATAACTACTCACTAGCACTAGATAGACTCCACTAATAACTATAACCTATCATTTAGGAAGATTGAAATAGAAATAACTACCCACTATTTAAACAACCCAACAATTCAAAAAATAATAAAATAAAAATAGAAAACCGTAACATCCTCATCATCAGATTTCACTTTCATTAGGGTGTTAAAGTGCGGTTGATTCTGAGACAATAAAGATTTTGTGAAACAAAGAAGAAAACATGGTTCAATCTAGATGACGAGAAAACCTTTGATGCAGTGAACGTAGGTACAATTATGTCAAAAGGGATACATTTTTGGGATTTGAAGGGTAATATAAAAAAAAATATGGATAAGAAAAATTATTTAATAAAAAGGAGTACCAAGTTAAGGTAATGAAGAAATTTTCCCAGATGGCATAACGGTTGGTAATGCTGTGTCCGAAATCTATATGTACATTTGTCGCTTCTTATAACTTCAATTTGAAAAGAAAGTGACTAAATGTTTCCTTTATGGTTATTAGTAAGATGTGATGTGTGAGCCTTTGAACCTATTCTGTTCTGATGCCAATTACTTCATTTAGGTTCCATCACTTCACTATGCTTATATTGCGTTTTTAAGGGCGCAGAAACGGATAAAAGCATTTGGGATAAATCTTCGTAAGAATTAAGAATATTTAACTGTCATTTCGGTATTTTTCTGTGCTTACCTTTTTTTTTTTCATTTATTTTGTTCCTTCAGGCAATAGGGTTACATGTTGGTAGCCTTTAGTCCAATTTCTCTTTTCTTTATCTCATTAAAGGCAAAAGAAGAAAATGTGTTATATTCATGTTCTCATTTCTATATTTTGTTCCTTTGTGCATTGTAATTTTCATTTTCATTTTTTTTCTCAAAATATAAATAAATGAATCATTGTCAGTTAAAGTTTCTGGTAATGATAATATTAACTTGACATAACAAATTATTTATATTATTTTCTAAGGCATATTGACTGGTTGTAATCAAACTACTACTCACATTTATTAATTCATTATCAACATTTCATAAGCTAAAGAAAATGCTAAGCCAGATGAACGCTTCAAATGGCCTGTGCCTTTAATCCATAATGAAATGAAATAAAAAAAAAAAAGTGAAGACCACTCATTTATAAAAAATTGTGGCTTTGGGTTACAAAAGTCTTGCCATTCCCCTTTTTTATTACTTCCATGCAGTTAGTGCCATTCCATTCTTTGACACTCCCTCCCTCTCCATTCTTTCAAACATAAACCCTTTGGTGGTTAGGTGCTTAAAATTGCTTAAGGTTCTAGAAATTCAAACCCAGTTAAAGAATTATCAAGTTTTATCAATTATTTTGCATCGCACAAAACATAATCTAACAGAATTGATAGCTCAGGCAAATGAGCATCCTGTGTCCAAATAATCACAGAAGCTTTCTATCTCAGAAGTTGCAACACCACAAGAAGGTATAGACAAATCAAAACCAAATATAGGCCACAGGATTTTGAAAGGCTTTAGTGTATGCTAAACAATGTCTCTCCATTTTCCAGAATTTATTCCAGAAGGAAATTTGAAGGATGCAATCAATGGTGATCATCATCGCCGTGTCCACCAGGAGGTCCACCAGGTCCCACCACTTCAAGCTGTTAAGGGGAAAAAAGGGATAGAATAATTAGCGTCACTTTGTAAACAGACATTTGATTAATATCCATTACTGTTCTGAACAGGGGAAAAGAATTTAATTGAAGTTTGTTCTGAGTTCTGACTGTCATAGTTCATTCATGAAAAAGCTGGATACATGACAATGGTTTAAACAAACCTATGCGCTGCACTAGTTGAGGTTAGATTCTCCGAATATTCCTTTGCAGCCAAATCAATAAAAACTAGCCATAAGTACTTTTTTATGTAAGCATTTAATGTATGCATACACTATATGGTGCTTCAGAAACAGAAGCCAACGCATATATTAAAGCATTGATGACATTAGCAAAAGATAACAAAAATCATATTCATGTAAATTTTTAAACTATTTTCTGGGATGTTAATTGATGATAAAGGAACTTGTTGAGCAGTTAGGAAATAAATTGGTTTGGCTCAACATGACCTGCAGCTAATAAAATTTTAATCCTAACAAAGACTAACGTTGTTTGACTTGTGAGTTGCTTTCATGACGTCAAAACACAGGTTCACCAAAACTTCGCTCTGAATGGTAATTGATGCCAAACAATAAAAAGGCAAACCCGATGCACAAGGCTCCCTGACTTTGCGAGGGTAGGGGTGAGGGTCAATTGTACGCAACTTTACTCTTGCATTTTTGCAAAGAGACTGTTTCCAACACAAACCAGGGACCTTCCAGTGACAAAGGAACAACCTTACTGCTACTACAAGGCTCGCCCTCAATCAATCCCAAACAATATTTAAAAAAATATATGTTGTGAAGATTGAAAGCCTCTCACTTTCATATTAACTAATTTAGAATATCTTCTTGCTAAAATAGGAATTACCTCACAGCAATAAGCTATAAACACCAAAACCATGTAATAACACCAGATAATCATACTTAAGACTAGTCAAGCCATTTATATTGTGGAAATATTTAAGGTTAAAGCAACTAAAAGCCTCTAAGAACATATTTTATAGGAGCAGCCTCAGTCTGTGCGGTCAATAACAAGCAATGGTCCTTGACAATCAATGTCTCCAATTGCAAGTATACAAGTAGGTAATTTTCATTCTACATACTTACATATCTTGACATTCAACTCCACACCTGTCTAAGTAACAGTACAAGATATACTAAATGATTCTTAACTTGCCTAAAATCAATCTGTAACAGGAAAAGATATACTAAATGTCATTATCAACTTACCACAAAATACTGTGCACACACTGGACATTCATGAGGCTTGCCTTTCTCCAACCAAAACCAGACAACGTCATGTTCATCCTCTGCAATCAAAAGAAATTGTTCACCTCCTTAACACCATAACCAAAATTCCAGCATTTTTCATCATCTTGGGAAGAAGCGTAAACACAAATACATTTAAGAAAAACAAGGAAAACTCTGATACTCACCGCCTTCACCTCCTGGGCATCCGACTATCCTTTTATCATAGTAAGATTTAACAACTGCTGGTGCTTCCTACAAACCAAAACAAAAAATGATAGTAGATATAGATGAAACATATTCAAAAAATATTCAAAAACATTATCTGATTATCTGCTAATATTACGGCAATGTAAATCTGAATGAACCATTTGGAAAGAAAGAAAGAAACAAGAATACTTTTCATTTTTCGGGCAAATGAAAAATGAAAAGAAGCTTAAGTATGCCATTATGGTCGAGTAAAGGATAAAAAAGGCTTAGACAATCTTAAATCCCATCTGACATAAAGGCATCAGATCCCACGATATGAGAGGCAGAGTCCCCTTGGTTTTCCAGCCTCATGCTTACTCTTTATCTTTCCAAACCAAGCATAATGAGGTAATCAAGCATAACAGTTGGTCACGTAGACTAACAATTTACCACCATCAACATACAAAAATCCTCAAGCTTTGTCACATTTTGAAAGGATATCTTTAATTGGCTGGAAATTGCTAAATAGGATCATAGTGTTCCAAATTAAAAACTTATGTACATATATATCCATTTATCCCTTCCCTTAATTTTCATTCCATGCCGTTAGATTCTTAGATTCCATCAATTCAATCAAACAAATCAGTAACTGTGTTAACTACTAAACTGTTATGCAAAATTATCTAACTGAACTTAGTAAGAATCACTGCTTTCACAGTTCCTTGCAGCTATAGTACACCAAAACAGAATAAAACATTCGATATAATAAATATGTCAGTATTTTAAAATTCAAACTAAGGGTGTTGAATGTTGCACCGATAATAAATGTTTGAATATCTTGACAAGCACTTAAAAATTCATTTTAAACGAATTGGATCCTCTTTAAGTGCAGAAAGTACAGCTCATACTTCCCAGACAGTAAAGTGTTCTCAGGTAACTAATGATGAAGAATCAACCCATGGATTAGATTTAGATAAGATTTTAGTCTCTAGAACTTCAACCTATTTTGGTTCTGGCTCTATAGTTTATTCTTTTAGATTCACTAGGCCTTTGGTCACACAGGGACCAAAACCTTAATGAACAGAAATCATAGGGACTAAAATCCAAATGAAAAATACATCAAGGAACAATACCTCAATAAGTGAAAACCACAGGGAGCAATACCTTAATGAATAAAAACTACAGAAACTAAAATCCAAATAAGTGAAAAATATAGGGCCTGATACTTTAACGGTAAGGACCAAACCCAAATGAGTGAACATATAGGGACTAATTTCAAAAGAAAAATTATAGGGACCAAGACCAAAATCAATTAAGACTATAGGGACTAAAATATCATTAAACCCATGGATTATCATCTAGAGACTAACTGTTTTATGACATTAAGGACCACAGTCTTTTGTATCAAAAGCTATTGAAAGTGCTTGCCTCTAAAAATGTAATCTGCACTCTAATTAGCAGAAGTAATCTTTCTGTCTTTCACAATCAAGACTATTATGCATCACTGTCATGCTTAAAAACTTTGTCCACACTAACATCCTAAACATTTTCCAATAAGTAATCTTCAAGTTTCAACAGTTACGACAAAGTAGGAAACACGTATTAAAAGTTTTCCACACTTTGAAAATCAAAACTAACACACATGCACAAATCCAGAACAGGAGATGCAATGAAAAACAAAATAAAGAACAGCACTCATTCAAACAAAGATACATTAAAAAACAAATGAGTTCTGATTCTGAGACACAATGCTATGCGATTCTTATAGTTTTCCTCTTACAAATAAAAAACTAAACATTTTTAGGCATACAATTTTAAAAGATAAGTAATAACACTAACCTTTGTGCCGAAAGGACCTTCGGGATGGTCTATTTCAAGAATATTCCTTCCCTAACCAAAAGAAAAAGATATTAAAACAAAATTAGAATCGCCCACCAAATGCAAGAAGCAGTTTATCTACAGCAAAAACTACTCAGCAGAACATGTTCGGTTTTGCTTGAATTTTAAACAAAAAAAAGAGCACTCTAGTCAATAGCTCTATCTTCAGTATTTTGATCACAAGCTTTTTCTGAACACAAAATAAGCTACTTCAAAAAAAATGCCATTTTTACCCCAAAAACTCAGGGCACGGAAAAGAGTAAGGTAACCCATTTGGCACTAAATTCAGAATACAAGATAAGCTACTTAAAAAAAATGCCATTTTTACCCCCAAAAACTCAGGGCATAGAAAAGAGTAAGGTACCCCATTTGGCACTAAATTCAGAATACAAGATAAGCTACTTACGAAAAATGCCATTTTTTTTTTATAACAAAAAAATAAAAATAAAAAAAATGCCATTTTTACCCCAAAAACCCAGGGCACAGAAAAGAGTAAGGTAACCCATTTGGCACTAAATTCACAGAGAGAGAGAGAGAGAGAGAGAGAGAGAGAGAGAGAGACCTCAAGCTCAGCCTGAATCTCCTCACGCTCGTGGCCTGTAGCGATTGGCATTACATCCTCAACCTTCTTTTTGATTGCACTAGGATCATCTGTAAGAAGAAGAAGAAAGAAAGAAAGAAAGAATAAACAGCATCAATTAATCGATTTACGAAAATCTCAATATGAAATGAACGTACAGAAGGTGGGGAAGAGAGAGAAAGTACCGGATTGGGTTGAGAAGTGGAGGGATAATAAACTGGGAGAGCGAGAAACGGCGGGAGAAGCGGCAAATCTGGCGGCGGCGGAAGCAGATCGAGGAGTAGAAGAAGCTAGGGTTTTGAGATGAGAAGGAGAGAAAAGCCTCCGCCACATGATCTTTGATCTCAGGTCACTCCCCTTTGGATGAAAAAGACGGTGACGTTTCAGAACACTGAGATTGGAATTCAGAAATTTTTGATATTGATATTGTTGTTGTTACCACAGTGGTGGACTTTTGTTCTTGCTGGTGGTGCTGACCTGGATTGGGGATTGACTTTGCCACGTGACTGATACCTAAGCACGTGCCACTCTCACTTGTGCTTGATATGTACATTTTTAATTTTTAATTATCATTTAAATGGTTGATATATTATTACGGGGCAGGATATTCTTACACTGGTGTAAGAGTTAGAAGTCTTACACTCAATCTTGACCATTGATCCACTTGTATCCAATGACTCACATTACTAAAAAATTTGAGCCCTTAGATATAAATGGGATCAGTGGACAAGATTAAGAGTGTAACTTACACTGGTGTAAAATGATCCTATACATATAAAGTTCAAAGTTATTATAGAACACTACTCTAAAATCAATGGATCAAAGGATACAAACATGTATTTTGAAGAATGTTTTAGTTAACTTATAAGTTTCATTACTGTAGTCACACTAATGTTCTTAAAATTAGATTGATCATTAAATCGATTAAGGTGGGGAAGGTTATTTATGGCTTACTAGTCCGATTAATCGAAGTACTGAGCCATAATCAAATCAGTATTAAATAAGTATACTTTTTTAGTAATAAATAACATATAAAATCATAAAAAAAAATACATTAAAAACATTTGATTAATATAAAAAGATTATATTATGTCTCATAAAATAAATTATAATAAAAGATTAACAATAATTATTGAGCAAATATCACACGAAATAAAGGAAAATAAAGATAATTATTAAGTTGTTATTTAGTGCTTCAAAGTCACATATTAGACATTAAGTGAAATATCTAAACATATAACATGGATTAAATTGGTATGGATCGGGTTCGGATCTGTGTCCCAACTCTCGGGTCTTCTAGTGCTCCGGTACTTGCAAAGAAGACATGGGCCCGAAACTCTCAGGTCCCCACTACTTTGTGTGGTACAATAATTTGAGCTGCTGTTGCCAATTTGGCTTATATGCACTATATACTATGGTATGATTTTATGAAGTTGTATAAAAATTGAATTCTCCTGTTAATTAGTGGTGGCCCCCTACTTATTAAAAAAGAAAGAAAAGAAAAACTTTGCACGCAAATCGAAAAGTCACAAAACATGAGAAAATATTTTTCCATATACTATACTACAAACATGTGTCATACAAGATGTTATGATAATGCAAAATAATATGGAAAATCATTTCTACTGCTGCAGCATAAATGATTTGTTTGTCACGATACGATGTCAGGTCTTGATAATTCTTTTTTTTTAATCTATTTTTGTTTCTGTAGTAGATGTTTCCTTTCTGGCACTGCTGCAGAAAAACCAAACCCAAATAATATTCCAAACATGCCTAAACTACAACACAAAGCGTAACAAATGAAAAACCAGCAAAATTATCGCTCAGCCAATCAGCTGTTGCCTAGATCTTTTGGCTTTAGTCTCATGCTCTTCACCCTCTTCTAATTTCCTCCTCAAGTTTTTCAGATCATCTTCACTAACCAAACCATTCAATTCTTTATTCAATGCATATGCCTCGCCCATTTTCCTTCGGCACTCTTTGCTTGCAGAATCATGACAAACAACTGAAACACAAATTATTCAGCACAAGCAGTGATAATATGGAGAACCCCATACAATGATAATCAGTGCAGTACGAAAACAAGTTGTGAATTTGATCAGAAAAAATATTCTCTAAAGCTTATTCATGCTATCTGTTTTTGATGATTATCTGTAAGAATAAATGTAAATTTGTACATAAAAATTTGTATATTTATCAGGTTTATAAGAAACTACCCAGAAAAAAAAAAATATTAGTAACAAATCAAAGAAATAAAACTTCATAGCAAGAGAATTTAATATTCCTCCTCTCTGCACCACCCCACCTCACCCAAACTAAAGAAATCTTCCAATTTATGAAGCTGCATATTATAACAGACTTTCCACCAGAAACACAGACTCAAAAGAAATCCATTTCTTTGGATGGAACACAACAGGATACATACACATGATTCATTGTTGAAAGCCAATGAAACAGACAATTACCCAAATAACAGAACTGACCTGGCATTGGGTAGTCTTTGCCAATTATGCAATTTGCTTTAGTCTGAATGCTTAAAGGAGCACTCCATGGTTCATAAATGTAGTCCCTAGGCATATCTGCTCACAGATGTTCAAATCTAAGTTCTAACAGCTAATCCAACAAAAACTGACTAGTGACTAGATGATAATAAAACATAATGGAATTGAGGGAACTTGAACGTACCTTTTAAGACCGGGAGAAAATGCCTAATATAATCCCCATTAGGGTCATACTTCTTACCAAATGTGATTGGAGAATAAATACGATTATACTGATCATGATAGACAATACATGTGATAAAGGTCAGTGGATATTTCAACATTCAACCTTTTTTGAAACATAAAATTTATTCACTTTCCACTGAAAATTCAGAACTGGTAATGCAGTATACTTCATACCTGATAAAAGAAAGATGAACATGAGAGCCACATCCAGTTTCCATTATTAATTGCCCAATCTGAATCAATCAGGAGCCTCTCAAAGACATCTCGTCCTTTTTCCCAATGAACAAACTGTAAGCATAAACAAATAACATTGGTATAGAGTAACAGTAAAAAAAATTGGCATGTTTAAAGTATCAAGGTTTATCATATACCAGATCGCCTCGAGTTAGAAAACATGCAACACAATGCCGAGCCAGATGATGCATCCAACCCCATTGGCGTAGCTACAACAGAAAATGATGGATTCAAATGCACTTCCCGAGTGACAATGCTGATATAAGGATCATTGGCGTGTTCAATGCTTCATTTGAAAAAGGATGTCAAAAAAACCCAAACCTGGACCATGATAGCATCAATCCAAGGAAATCCCGTCCTAGCCTCCCTCCATGCCTCCAGCAGTTTATCATCATCCTTCCAAGGAATCTACAACAACATAATTCAAAGTTCAAACAACATTTATGTAAAGAACCTTAGGATACACCACCCCAAAAGCTAGCTCAAAGGGTGGGAGTGTCTAAGGCCTTATAAACTCCACATTAGTTGCACATACAACCAATGTGGGACTATATATCTCAACACGCCCCCTCACACGAGAGCCCACTGGGCTTGAAGGGTGAACAACATACAAGCCCACCTACATGTGGAAATTCCACTACAAAGAAAGTGAGAGGCGGTGAGATTTTGAACGCTCTAATACCATATAAAGAACCTTGGGATACACCACCCCAAAAGCTAGCTCAAAGGGTGGGAGTGCCTAAGGCCTTATAAACTCCACATTAGTTGCACATACAACCAATGTGAGACTATCTATCTCAATACGCTCCCTCACACAAGAGCCCATTGGGCTTGAAGAGTGGACAATGCAACAGACCCAGCCTACCTGTGCTAAGAAAGTCCACAAGAAAAAGTGGGGGGCGGCGAGACTCTGATACCATGTAAATTAAGTGGTATCATATTTATAAATGCTTGTTGGTCCAAGTAGCAAGGAGCTTAATACTCCTTAAGAAAGGTTTCGGATTCCAGTCATAAAAATAGAGAAAAACAAACGCTTGGAGAGCTTTGTCCCTCTAAATGGATCCACTCAGCTCGACTAGGATTAGTCGAGGCCAAAAGTGACTATTGGATACCAGAGGTCTCAGACCAAAAAAAGTGGTGTCATATAGTCAAACTTAAACTCGGTAAACAACATACATTAGCAAGCATTCATTCTTATCTCACCTGCTTGCATATCCGATTGCCTTTCATCCTATCAAAATTTGGAGTCCCAAAAGCTGCCGTGTAAAAGAAGTCTCGCCACAATAACTGCTTATGTCAACAAGGCAACAGCTTCAGTTTCCTAAAAGTAGAGCTCAAAGACAATACAGTACTAACTTCTGGTGATAGCATGACCTGTCCTAGAAGAGAAACAGGTGGCGATGTATGCTTTGGCACACTTTTATATACATCCTGAACGTGATGGTAGAAATATCTGGAAGAAAGACAACCAAACTGCCAAGGAGATTAACAAAAACAAGAAATATAGAAAAGATCACAAGGTTCAAATGTGGTTAATAGTTCAATCAAACAAAATGGACATGTTAAACAATTCAACCGTTACAGGTTTTGACTTACTTTCAAGTAAGGTGATAAAACAGTTGTTGCTGGCCTAAGAAATGCAGATGGATTGCCCTTGGGTTTCTCAAAGTTTGCCACCCACTTCTGAAATCATAAAAATAAGAAACTAAGGCATGCTACCAATTACATGCAGTTGATCTTTCAGCAAGAAACATCAATTTTATATGTGAACTTTAAATTTTTTGAATGCTAGAATGTATAAAGTACCTTGTCTTTCATGCATTCTTCCAACCTCTTCAATGCTTCTGATTCACCACCTTTGAAAGGGGAGAACTCGTCCTGATAGTAACAACTCTCATTAGGTGCTCATGAAGGGATATAATCTAAAATATAATATGCGCACCTGTTTAGTATCTCCATATCCAAGATCTTTGATTGTTGGAACTTCAGAAAGATCACAACATCCAAGATGGTCAACCGGAGGAAGGGAAGAGGGCATGGTTGAGAGAGGGGGTGGCGGTTCCCCAGCAAGCTTGATAAATGATTGATAACTAAGTGGCGGCTTCCCTCCATTCTTTTTTGGTATTGGCAATGAGTTAATAGACAAATTGATCATGAGTTAATAGAATCACAACAAAAACAATAACAATGAATTCAGAGGTATATTATTAATTGGTAGAAATATAGGAGGAGTAGGGGGAACTATTCATTTATACAAAATAAAAAATGACATAAATGAATCAATAGTTAAATTGGAGATCATTTCTTCAAGCTTCAAACTCACCTTCTCTATAATATCAATGGGATTGAACAGTGTGTGACTTACAGGAGAGCAAATCTCAATTCCAGATGCAAGTGCATAGTTCTGTCAAAACAAAACAAAAAAAACCTTCCGAGTTATCACCAAATGTCAACAACACAAACCCATTAACAATAACTACTAACTGACTCACCCCTTGACCCTCTCGTGTGTTAATTAATATGACACGGTCATGTAGTATAATAATAATCATATAAATGTGAATCAACATAGAGAAAAGACATTGGGATACAATTACCACACTTGATTCATCTTTGTGTAGTTACGATTTTCGCCACATGACCATATAATATTAAACAAAACATGAGAGGATCCATTTCTGTAAACAATACCTTAACTTTAATATCCAGTGCCTGATAATATGGTTCAGTGTCATATTCAAAGCATAGCTTTCTGACATTCCACTGCATCAACCGAAAGAACAAACAGAAATAACTACCTTAAATTTTGTCTCTATCCCCGGAATGATTCAAGAAAAAGAAAAAAAGGTAAGTGTGTGTGTGTGTGTGTGTATGTATATAAAGCTGCAAACTTTTTGGCACCTCCTTCAAGCATCGAATGAGAACCTCGGCTGGGTCACCCTTAAGAATCAAAAGTCGCGAGCCAAGCTTCTTAAGGTTCAGGTCAAGGTCCACGAGGCTCTGAAGCAAGAAGTTGATGCGGTTGAGACCCGCACGAGAGGACCCGGGGGAGAAAGCATGCGGGTCGGGCTCCATGTAATGCGGGTCGATAACGAAGACAGGGTAAAGATGAGACGCCCCTTGGGAAGCGAATTCGAGAGCCGGGTTGTCGTGGATCCGAAGTCCCTTCCGGAACCACATCAGAGAACCCGACCCGGAACAACTCATTGTAGTGATGTTGGTACAGTTAGTGGAAGGATGCACGCAGAGACAACCGCACAGGTTATAAGAGAATTTGAACCAACTCGTTTGGTTCGCGCCTTTAGATGAGCAAACATTAACATTTGTAGAATGAAATACGAGGTGGTCCTTGCTAACGTGCGCCGGGATTTGTACGTAATTCGACTCTCTGGTACCAAATGCAATTCGTTGTTTAGTTTGCGCGCACGGCGTAGCATAGAACTTCTTGGGACGTTGGAAAATATAACGGTCTTTGAGATGCCACGTTGTGCGTTTTACACCACGTAGTGTCTCTTCCTATGAATTCAATTACTTTAGAGCAACTTTATGAATATTTATTTGGAGAAGTTAAAAAAATTTCATGATTTTACGAATCACTTATATCTTTATATTTTTTTAATTACTTATTTTTCTATGATTTTGTTATCCAAACATATACTCAAGCTATTTTTTTTTTTTGGGTAAACAGAAACTAATTTAATATATCTATTTCACCCTTTTCAAAAAAAGAAAGTAGATTGAGGATAAAAAATAATAAAAGAAATAAGACCAAATTAATATGTTGAAACATACAATATTTATAGAAATAAAAAAATTAAATAGAAGAAAAAAATAAAATATATCTAAATTAAAAAAAAGAAAATAGACGAAGGAGATAAAAAAAATAAGATCAAATATATTAAAAATAGAGAAGATTATTTTTATAATCTATTTTTATTTATAATTTCTTACAATTATAATTTAATCATTATTTTTCACCAACCAACGATTATTATTTTCAACTATGTATACCACAGACACGTTCAACTTCTCCTCTTATGCGCAGGTGCGGGCAGCACTGAACTTTAAGGAGAAGAACATGCCCTTTAAAAGCTGGATCTTATACTTAATGGAAGCTTCATCGCCAAGCCTAACAGCATAGCTACCCTCAGGCACAACTAGTAGCATGTCACCTTTTTTCTCGCCTACGTCAAAAAAAATTTAATTTGGTCTGGTCCAAGTCTGTTATGAGTCTAACTGTTAGCTTCACTTAGCTCTTTTATAAAAAAACAAATAGCCTGGCCTATCCCGTTAGCCTGTTAATTTTTAACTTTCAAACAAAACCATGAATCAACTTTACAAAATACTCAAATTCGGTTGCTAAACCAAAAATTATAATTTCAACGTCCAAACAAAATCATGAATCACAACAAAACTCATACAATCTGCATTTAAGTCACTTTCAAAAGCAAAATGCTTAACTAAATAACAAATATTTCATCAGATTCAACAAACAAATCCATACTATGTAAATTAAAATAATTACATGAATCCAACAACACATCATGATGATTGTAATAAGTATAACTTCTCCCAAAAACCTTTTAATATATTCATATACACAATTTAACATGTTGAGATGTTGGTTCTTCCTATATAAGAAATAAAGTTAGATTTCTATAAAAATATAATCAAATATAATTAAGTTATAAATAATTACAATCGATTAAATTTATATCTTTTATTTTTTCTTCAAGACATACTTATTCTATTTTATTTTATTTAAAATAAATAGTACAATATAGGCCGGCCTGTAGGCTTATAGGCCAGGCCTTGTGAAAGTAGGCCTACGGCCTTTTTAGTAAACAAGCTTTTTCAAGGCTCAAGTTCGACTTATTTTACAAAATATACTAGGTCAGGTCTGACCTGACGTAGGTCGAGCCGTAGGCCTCTGTGGGCCGGTCTGGCCCAGTTTCACCCCTACTCGTATATATGTTTTTTTTTGTTTTCCCAATTAACGAATCTTTACATTTGCACTTTTTTTAAAAAAAAATCTTATAATTTCTGGAAGAAAACAGAGAAAAAAAATGATTTTCTAATACTAAGTTTGGCGAGTGACAACTGTGACATTAAACCATTAAGAGCATGTTTGTTTGTGCTTCTAAAAAAAGTAACTTTTATCTCTTCCTTATTTTAGAAGTGTTTTTTATAAAAGTTAAAGTTATTTTTATTTTTATAAAAATATTTAGGTTTTGAAAAAAAATATTTGGCTTTTGACTTCTTCTTTTCTTGAAAGTTAAATTTTTTAACTTCTGGAAAAAGTAAGTTTTTAGCTTTTTGTGTGACTTCTGCTTTTTTTAAAATTAGACATCCAAACGAACTAAAAATGAAAAGTGCTTTTTTTTAAGAAAAAAAAAAAGTAACTTCTGAAAAAAAAAAGTTCATCCAAACGAGCTCTAAGTCTTTTTTCCACATTGAAACATGGCATTGTCTTATACAAAGAATTCAAATCGTATGTTCAATTTATCTATCCTCAATAACGCATTTCTTAAAGAAATATTGTTATCTGATAATATTAAAATTCTCTTCTCTCAAAATTGTGCATAATCTCATTAAATTTTTATTTAGTGGTTTACTGAAAAAAGTTGGGAGCCGTGTCTCGAAATCGAAGCTCAGCTATGTATGTATAGTATAATTAATTAACAAACCCGTTTAGCAAAGCAAATTAATTTAAGATAAGAGGAATTAACTTCTGCTTAAACTTATTGAGGATAGTTGAGACTTTAAAGTAGAAGGAAGAATTTTACAAAGAATCATTTCATCATAAAAAGTTTAAACTGCAGATGAAGAGTAATTAATGATTTTATATTAGATTTTTTCAAAAAAATATTTATTATTTTAAAAGATATAAATTTATGTCAGTAAAATAAACATATTATAATAATTTTTTATATTTTATATTTTTAAGAAGAGAGATAAAGATATATTGTGAAGGGGGTTTAAATTGAATGATATCCTGAAAATGCCACTGATTTTGAAAGAAAACTACATGAATGCCACTAAAACTACCATAAATACAAAAAACAACTTCTCAAGATTTCAATTTCCACGAAGAGATAGCATTGTCCCGAAGAGATGCCTATAGTACCAAACAAATCTACCACCATGTTGGAATTATTTTTAGGTATAGTTTATATTTATAAACTACACTACATATTATAGATAATATATATTTAAGTAATATGTATTATCTATTTTACATGGTGTAATTTTTAAGAATTTATAAATATAACAATTCTTTTAGTTTTATCAGATATTGTTTTATAATACAGTGCATATATATATATATATATATATATATATATATATATATATGAAATTTATAGATATTATGTTACAGGAAAAAGTTCTCATCATGTTATAGACTTAAACTGACATGGAACCCACCATTTAAAAAAAAAAAAGTGATTGGCAATGTATCAGCAGCAAGTTTTAAAATTTTTGTGTAACATAATAAACTCATTCCCTTATATATATATATATATATATATATATATATATATAAATGAAAAAAAGTGACAAGACCGTCCAGTGCACTAAGTTCTCTCGCGAGAACATAGTGCACTAAATATTACAATGGTGTTCTCCCGATAGAACATAGTTATAATATTTACTATAACTATGTTCTCGTGGGAAAATTTAGTGCACTGGATCAAATTTTCAATCCAGTCACTGTACACTCACTAAACCCATATATATATATATAATTGTTTTATTGGGACAGTGACCATTTTGCCACGTTTTGGCAAAAAAATTACCAGGATGTCACGCGAACAGTAAAATTTCCCAAACTGCCACGCGGCATAATTCGCTACACAGTGTAGCGAATTATGCATGCAAGTAATTCGCTACACAGTGTAGCGAAATATGCCACGTCAGAACCAAAAAGTGTCATGTGTCAAAATTGTTGAAATTCACTACCCTATGTAGCGAATTACAACAATTCTGACACATGACACTTTTTGGTTCTGTGCATTTTGACGTGGCATATTTCGCTACACTGTGTAGCGAATTACTTGCATGCATAATTCGCTACACTGTGTAGCGAAGTGTAGCGAATTATGCCACGTGACAGTTTGAAAAATTTTACTGTTCGCGTGGCATTCTGATAATTTTTTTGTCAAAGCGTGACATTTTGGTCCCTGTCGTTGTTTTATTACGCGAGTAACAACGAGACTGACGCCAAACTGTCTTTTTAAATTGTGAAAGCAGCTATTTTTAGAATTATCCACTTTCACATAATAATAAAAGAAGAAAGTGGGCCCTAATACTTGAAAGAACGTAAAATATATCCTCTATGAATTATGATTCTTAAGTTAGCTCTCTTGCTTTTTTTTACATTTTCATTTTTAATTTTCTTGTCATATTTTGTTATTAAAATGATAGGACTTTTGTCATTTTGTATCAATTAAATTTTTTTTAAAAATATATTATAAAATTCATCTTGTTCTGACCAGCCTCCACAAACCCAATATATTGGACCCAATAGAAAGACCTAGATGATATTTTATTGTGAGCCATAGCACTTCTCCATAGGAGATTTCCCTCTCTCGACATAGCTCACCATCGTATACACATGATAAGGAGCGAATGCCACACTATGAGAGTGGAGGGAAGGCTAATCGTTTTTCCTCACATTTTTTCCCTCTCTCTTATCATTAAGAAATATTCATTTTCCTATATAAATTTTTCTTCTCCAATTAAAGGGACATTTGATTTTCCATATGAATTTTCCAGCCAGTGTAGCCAATACATAATCTCATTAGCTCCTTTCTGTAACTACACTAGTGATTAGAGCCAGCAAAACAGACTAGACTTAGCGGGCCAACTTGCCCCATCCGCTAGACATGGTGGAGCGGCTGAGTTTTTCAATCCATCTCAAAAGCGGGACGGGGCAAGGCAGACTCATTTTTTGATAGGTTAATGGCGGGCATAGGCGAGTCGAGACAAGTCAGTGTAAAATAGGTTCGGGCTGGCGGCCCAACCCGTCAAACAGGGCGGGGGGTCGAGTTTTTCAGCCCACTTTCAAAAACAAGACGGGGCGGACTGGCTTATTTTTGCACAGGTTGATAGCGGGGCAGGGTGGGCTGGCTCATTTTTTAGCAGATTAATGACGGGACACGGTGGGTTGCCCATTTTGCTACCTCTACCGGCGGTGACTCTCCTGGAACTTTG